AATCGAATCAACTGAGGCAGGAGCCAAAGCTCAAAAGTCTTGCATGGATGAGAGTCTGATCGGGTGAGAGTCTGATTGGGTGAGAGTCTGGACGGGGGAGGGCCTGATCGTGTGAGAGTCTTGATCGGATGAGAGTCTGGATGGATGAAAGCCTGGACTGGTGAGAGTCTGATCGGGTGAGAAACTGATTGGGTGAGAATCTGATCGGGTGAGAGCCAGGACAGGGTGAGAGCCAGGATAGGGTGAGGGCCTTGAGCTGCTGCTGTTTTAAGTTGGATGGTGCTTGGGCGCTGCTACTGCTGCGTGTGTGCAGTCGTAAAAAGTTCCAGATGGCTACCAGTGCAGCTAGTTCTGGTTTGGATGAGCAGGTTATTGGACTTACATACTCTGTAGGATGCGGCGGTCTTGCCCATGGTCAGTGGGTTAAGACAGAGCTCGGTGACACAGCATAGCAATTGTACTGATGGTATCCTTGATTTGAGAGGGGAGCTCGTGCATCGTTTATAGCGAAGCCATATACACGAATCAATTATGGCCAGAAACTTGAAATTCGGGTTAGAGCTGGGCTGTCCGATTATTGGTTAAATTACTCGACTATTTGGGAAAAAAGCGTGACGATTTATGGGGAAGTGATGGGCGGGGCTTATCGATATCAGCATCACCATCAGCTGCGTTGCACTGGGTGTGGCTTGCAGGGGGTTTCCTGCCTTCGATAGACAGGATGTGGGGGCAGCCTTCATTTTGAAGAGGGCCCGAGTAATTGAGCACAAAAAAGTCGACTAATCATCCCGCTGTGTGTGTGTGTGTATCCCACACACACACCAGCAGTAATTAAGGGGCATCTATCGTCGGGAGTACAGCAATTTGGCTATTAATATGTCTAAGGAGCTTTAGAGCATTGTCTTCTTGTATCCATGGCTTTCTCTGTGCCTTGCCACTCAAAATAGCCCACTGGAAATGGACACTCCAAAGAAGTAATCTTGAGACTCGGCAAAGATTTCCATGAGTAAACTCGTGCAGAATATTATTATTTATGATTACTCATTGACTTATTTCACAATCAGTTCTGTGTTTGTAACCTCAAAGAGAATTCTACAACAATGAGCACCTTTGATTTCAACGCATCAAAGTGGTGGACCTGCCTACTGCTCGATACTAGCATTAATCATTCAAAGACCAGTGCAGTATATGACACCATTGGGCAATGCCAACTTGCACATTGGACTTCCTTCATAATGTGCACTCGTGTTAATAACAATCGTCACTTGCAGCTCTTTGTAAGTCCACGAATGGATCACGACGTCCACAAGCTGTGTAGGTCATGGGAGGTCACTGACCATACTTCACCACCCAGGTCAGTGTAAGTTTATGAGAAAATGTTTTGCACAAAGGAAATGAACCAGTGGTGGCGTGGGTTAGCCAGAACCAGTTCAGATATCACTCAGCACTGATTTTGGCCGTGGCTGGGAGATACAAACTCAGGCCGACAGGTTTTATAGTGCAGTGTGCTCACCGCTTTTTGCCACCAGTCCTCCGTACTTATGTGGCCACTTCATTATACCTCAATGCTGACCTGATTTAGATTTATCTCAGCCCATCTGTGGGTGGATAAAAGTGATACCATTTTGCGGGAGGGATGCTGCCCCGGTGTAATTGTTAGCACGCTGGATACTTGCAATCCATTGACTATTGTTGGTGAATTCCCCCTCTTTGTATGTGTTTGGGTGATTTGTTTACCTTTCTTGTACTTTGCACTCCTATCGTGTTTTTGTATTGTTTGTTGTTGTAACGTCCTTACCTGCCCCGAATGAACATTTGTGAAAAAGAGATTTACAGCTCATCGGATTTCTCCAAGAAAAATACATATTCTGATTTTGAGATACTGTATGCTTTGTTGTCATGTAACATTGCGTGTGCATTTGTGTGTTAATGTTGGCCTTTATTGTGCACGTTGTGGTGCGAGGGGCATCAGTGGTTAGCAGACGAGTTGTGACCTGGGTTTGATTTTCCAACCATGTATTGTATACGATCAGTGTTACAAGTCGTCTTTGGGCCCATCGTAGGCCTCCGTTAGGTTGACTCAACCTCAGCCGAGTATCAGGTGCAGTGTGTTAACATCAGTGGCCGAGTAGGGTGCTGCCCCTGTGTGTGTATGTACGCACGTGCATATGTGCCGCCTTGTGTCACTGGCAATGGTATAGCGATTAGCGCGCTGCGCTACGAACTCGGATACCCTGCACTTGTTCTGGACCTCCCCTAGGTCGACTTAGCCTCAAATGAGTACCTGGTGCGGTGTGTACATATCGCCACTGGGGAGACAAAGGCGCTAGGCCATTGTGCTGGCCACCCACCCCCTTGTGTGCCGTGCCGGACTTCATAGGTGCTCGCTAACAGCAGTTTCCCCTACAGTCTGTTAAGGTTACACAGGGGATCTTTTTCTTTTTTTGTCCGTGCTCATGTGCGTGTCATTATCCCCTTGTACTGTATTAGACAAGTCTATGACCAGATCGCCCCAAAAAAGCACCAAATAATTTCAGGCATGAGCCTGGTTAGTGCTTGCATGGGTCACCACCATGCACAAACAGGTTGTCATAGGACTTTGGGGCGATGTGGTGGGCAGCAGAGGAATGGTGCCGCAAAGTCCATTGTTCTGCTGTACTTCTATGATCCCACATCTATGCTCTCCACCTTCACCAACCCGCTCTGACCAGTGTGGTGAAGTATGATCGAATCACCCCCCCCCCCCATGACCCGCACGGCATCCAGTGCTGGATTGACACAACGTCTGTGCATGGACATCACACACCTTGCCTGTAATGTGCGTGCGCTCTTATGCCTTTGCAATGTACGTGCTTTGTATTAATGCCCACGCTTGTATGTGCGTTTGCGTGTGTGGTTGTGTGCAGGGTTCAGCAGATTCTTACAACAGCCGGCCATCCGATTCTGACAACTCCCTGGAAGAGGAGCGAGAACACCTGAAACGCGAGGCCGAGAAGCAGGCGCTAGCCCAGCTCGAGAAGGCCAAGGTCAGACCCTGATTGAGGCCATCGGGCCTCGTTGCTCTGCCCACCGCTAATCTGGCACTGTGTATGTATGTATGTTCAACTTCTTTTGCACCGTACATAGCCGACCGTGCTAATTGGAGGTGCCGGGTGGAAGGACAACGAACTGTGAAGGCGAGGGTTGGTGGGTCACTTTGTCCCCTGCCCGTGGGTGTTGTGGTCAGCAAGTGGATTCATTTCCCTGCCCGTTTTTCTTCTGTACAAGGATTGAGTGCCACCCCCCCCCCCTTCCCCCGCAACATCCCCCTTGCATACTCTTTGGTTCTTTCGGTAAAGTCACGTAGGTATAAAACAAAATAAAATAAATTACGACGTTTCGATCGCAACACAAGCGGTCGTCCTCAGGCTGATATGTGGGTTTTCATCGCTTTCCAAATGCACGCATAGGCACTCATTAATGCGGTTGCCCAACCATCCCGATGGAGGACAACAGAACTTGGGAAATGTTGCCATCGGTTCTGGCTGCTTCACCGATTGTCTGTGATCTCCTGTACCTCCGAATCATTCTGCACCTTTGAAAATAACTGCCCGTTACAAAGGTTAAATTAAATGACACGTATACACCTCGTTTAAATTTGGTGTGTTCATTGTTTATCCCACAATCATGTATTCGAGTTGTGCTGTGGCGTTGTGTTATGCGATGATAAATACATTTGGAAACTCACTGAGCGGCAAGCCTAGCGGTATTCTCAAAATCCTTCAAGTGGCCTTTTTATCCTTTACATAGTAGGGGCAGCACTTTCCCAAACACTCTGCAGTGAGACTATTTGTCACATCACAGACAAATGGATAGTATTAATTGTCAGAGCTGGAATTTAAGCAAATCAAGTGCTAAATCAATGTCAACTCACAACACTTGATAAACTTTGTTTGGAATCACCGGCAGCTGTACAAATTCGAGCCCACCATCCCAGGCATTGCGGACTCAGCACTCTGACTTCTCAGCCACCCACCACCTCAACCTATTTCGACCTCACTGGAAAGTTCCAACAAAAGGTCAAAAATATTTCTTGCTCAAATGAGCGTGGATGGCCGGTTGCTCATCTCCGAGATTACAGCCCTGAGCCGGCGGTGGAAAATCCACATTCCTTACGACAGGGGCGAGTCCATCCATTCGACACCCGCCGTTGACTTCCTCTACAAAGCGGTGCCCGTGTCATCAACTGAGGAGGCATGATGGCATGATGGGTCAAACCCCGGCAAGGATTTTGATCTTGCAGCCTTCCAATTGTGAGCCACTTGCTCTTCTGCTGAGCCACCTGGCCGGATGGAAAGACAATTTGCCGTCTGTATTTCGTGGAACTATGGTGGGGCACAGTTTCTGTGCTATTTGACACCAACTTGGCCATTTCCCATTGAAAATTCCCACGTAAATAAAGCACCTTGCAGCCAAAATCAATATGCAGTTGATTATGGGTACAATACCACCTTATACAGTAAAACATTTAATTGCGAGCAACTTGGTCTGCGAGTGTTTTGCAAGACGAGCACAATTTTTAAATAAATATTAATTTGATAAACGAGCGAGGTCTTGAAATACGAGTAGCATGTGTATACGCTTTGTCTGCCGAGCGTCACGTGATCACAACTGATATACGAGTGCTTTGATATACGAGTGCTTTGGATTACAAACACGTTTCCGGAACGAATTATGCTCGCAATCCAAGGTTTTCTGTACACAGTTCTAAAACAAGCAACACATGGCGACACTGCACTGTTGAGGGGGGGAGGCAAGGGTAACTTGTGATACATTCAGACGTTGGATATAAGCACACCTGGCTTTGCTCCCAAGGGTTGCGAATATTTCAAGCATGTCTTTAAAAAATAGTTCAGGCATCTGATATTTTCTGTGTGATCCACCAATCACCCTGCCAAAGTATTCAATTTCTTACTTTGCCTCACAATCAGAAAGTTGGGTCTTTGATCTGCAGTCATTGCTCGAATCAGTCAACCATTATTTATTGTTATTACGGTTGTTTACCCAGGGAAGCCTCGCTGAGTTTCGAGACTCTTGTTCAGGAGAGTCGTGCCAGGTGTTGAAGTAGGGGGTCATGTTGCGACGTGTAATCCAAGTTGAGTGGGTAATATTTCAACATTGGGATGTGTTTGGCAATACCAGTTTCATTGAATGGTCTTTTTTGTCCTGAGGACGATCACTTGAGGACGATCGCTTGTGTGGCAATCGAAACGTCATGATCTATTATTATTTTTATACGTCACTTTACCAAAAGAAACAAACAGTATGGATTCCTGCAGTCACGAAAACTTCACATCATCATGTTCTCGTTATACTGGTGGAAGCGCTTGCCTTCCTCCTCCGAGTACACTCCCATGTTCTCCTTGAATTTATCAAGATGAGCATCAAGGATATGGACTTTGAGGGACATCCTACAGCCCATCGTGCCGTAGTTCTTCACCAGAGTCTCAACCAGCGCCACATAGTTTTCAACCTTGTGATTGCCCAGGAAGCCACGAACCACTGTGACAAAGCTGTCCCAAGCCACTTTTTCCTTACTAGTGAGCTTCTTGGGGAATTCATTGCACTCCAGGATCTTCTTTATCTGTGATCCGGCAAAAACGCCGGCTTTGACCTTTGCCTCAGACAGCTTAGGGAAGAAGTCTTGAAGGCACTTGAAGTCTGCCGACTCCTTATCTTCAGCTCCGACAAATTGTTCATGAGGCCCAATTGTATGTACAGTGGTGGCATCAGCACCTTCTGGGGGTCCACCAGTAGCTCCCACTTGACGTTGTTCGTCCCCACAGAAAACTCGGTCTACTGTGGCCAGTCCCGCCTGTGGTAGTGCGCTTTGGTGTCCCTGCTGTCCCAAAGGCAAAGATAGCAGGGAAACTTGGTAAAACCGCCTTGGAGACCCATCAGAAATGCCACCATTTTGAAGTCTCCAATGACCTCCCAACCGTACTCATCATACTTCAAGGCGTCCAGCAAGGTCTTGATGTTGTTGTAATCCTCTTTGAGGTGCACCGATTGAGCCAGAGGAAGAGACGGGTACTTGTTACCATTATGGAGCAGCACGGCTTTGAGGCTCCTGGATCAGCTGTCAATGAAGAGGCGCCACTCATTCTGGTTACAGGTGATTCTGATTGCCTCGAACAGACTGGTCACATTGTGGCAGAAGTAGAGCCCATCTTGACGGGTGAAGAAGCTGTAAAAAGATTGGTGATGCTTCCTCTGATCTGCGACTTGCACACTTTCATCCAACAAGTTCCACTACTTGAGCCTAGATGTCAAAAGCTCGGCATTGGACTTGGTGAGACCAAGATATCTGATCAAGTCGTTGAGGTCTTTTTGGTTGGGGTAGTATGGGTTTCTGTCCTCAACTACACCTCTGAAATTGTCATCTGGATATACAACGTCTTCCTCGCTCTCTGACTTACTGCTCTCTTCTAAAGACGGCTGCTCTCTCTCCGGAGGAGTGGGTATGGGGAGCTCATGGCAGTGTGGCACCGGGGCGATGGATGAAGGGCGGTCCGGATACATGATAGCAGGTGCATTCCTGCCCAGTCCGACGTTTGGAAGGGTCGACCATGCAGAAGTAGCAGTTGCTTGAGTGGTCAGTAGATTCCCGCCAAATTCTTGGGAAAGCGAACTTCATGGCTCTTTTCCCCCCCCTGTAACATTCTACAAAAATACATTTATTTCACCAATGACTAATGTGTAAGAGATTCTCACAACATTTTTCATGTATGATATATTTTTCCAAAAACATTGAAAATTGTAAAACATTTAAAAATTGAAAACTCTTACAATTTTTTTTATTTTAACAAATTTTATAACTTAAAATTCCGAGCAACAATTGTCCATCTTACCTTCCAGAGTTTTTTTGCATTGCTCGCAAGTGAAATGAGGTGCCCAGGGTTTGTCTTGATCCCCGACAGGCATGCCGAAATATGCCTTATAGGCCTCACACATCTTAGCAGATGCTTCCACAGAGTATTTTTTTCGCTCTTGTCTTATAAATTGGCTGCAGACATAGCAAAATGCGTCTACCGGATGCTTGCAGCCTCTTGATGCCATCTCAGAAAAATGCAGATATGTATCCACTTAGGCAGCTGAAAATAAACTGAACTGGTGGGCTTTAGGTCCCTTGTATTTATACTGCTATTTATATTACTGGAAAGTTCTAAAATGTTCTAGAAGTTATTCCAAGTTTAATCAGCACTGAATCTATCTGGAATGTTCTGGAAAATTGGTAAATTTCAAAATAGCAATGTCCTGGTCACAAAAGCAAAGTTAGTGGGGAATAATAACCATTGTTCTGTGCTTTTGAGGCATAAGCAATTAGGAAATAACACTTACTACCCAGGAACAAATTTTTTTTAAAAAATTGTTACACAATGATATAATTAACTGGCACCTACCACAGATGCATGGCATTTCTTCCTCTAGCTCAAGGCTACCGATGGAAATGAATGCCACCCCATGCTTGCTCGAGCAGGGAGACACTTTGACCTTAAATACAGTATGGGAAATGGGGCAGCTTTTTGTTTTAAATTTAAACAAAGCAAAACGTCAGGCGTTCTCAACCAGGGCTCTTCCTACATCTGCTCCTGCGAGTCCAATTACAATGCCGAGCGAACAGCTTTCAGAGCCATTAAGTGAACAATGCAGACACGGCCTTAAGAGCTATTGATTGGCTTCCTTAACGTCAGCATGTGTTTGTGCAAGGCAATTGAAAAGTAGAAAACTGTGTTCACGGGACACACCGGTAGCATTGGTGAGAATGACTGCAGTTCCAGCTATTATTACTTTGTTATGATGATCGTGGTGGCTTGGGGAGGCCTTCATTTAGCGGTGGATCGACTACAGCCGATGACGTTATTATTGCCGTTAATAGGCCACGTGCTTGGATGGGTGACCACCGTGCATGCAGCAGGTGTTGTGGGCATTGTGGGCAGTAGAGGGCAGTGCCTCAAAATCCATCAAGCATTAGTCTGCACTCGCTCCACTCAGTTTCACCCACCCGCACTGGCCATCGTGGTGAGAAATAGTCAAAGATTTCTCAAGGCCCCCAAGGCATTTGGAGGCCATCATTCAGCAGTGGATTGACATAAAATGGGCTGTGCATGTACACTCTATATCGTTGCCCACTCTATATTCCTTGGCTGCTGCTGTCCTCGCATCAACCCGAGCCACCCACACGATAATTTCTCCACTGCAGTTGCGCTTGTAACGTTATTTTAAACTGAACACCCAGAAGTAATCTGAAAATTCAGTAAACCGGTCCTTCGCAAGTTGTAATCCGATCACCAGAAATAATACGGGGGTTACTAGATGCCTTCCTTGGCTATTCGATGCCAATATTTGCAATCGCTTTGTAACGCGTTACTTGCCAGCAGCGACATATATGTTTTTGTAGTCCAGAGGCCTTCTCGCCTGTCAGGCCAGAGCCATGCCCGTCTGCCCGTCCCTTCTCCATGTCGTCTGCCTGCTGAGATTTTTTATTTGCCGCCGCCGTTTTATCCCCGAGTGCTTGAAATCCTTTCCGGTTTTTTCGAAAGGGGGGTGGGTAGAAAAAAACTCCGTGGAGAAAATGTTTTTTTTGGGGGGGGGGGGGGGGGTTTCACGGTGCTGTGTGTTGCCTAAATAATACTGAATAATTGAGGCGCGCGTTAATAATGGATGGGCAGTTAATGCTCGCACTGCATCTGTGTGAGGTGGGACCCTTTGTGTGTGGCCCACCCTCCACGGCTCGCACCCGCCCTGCTCAATTTTTTTGCGAATGGATGGACAGTGTTGAATTGTATATCCAGACAAAATATGTAGATAAATGGATATATTAATATGGAGATAATCACAACGATAATGTTTTTTTTTATTCATAAAAGCGCCCTTCCTATATGTCGGCGGAGTCTCGGGGAGCTTTACATCTTCATCTCATCTCAGCACATTTGAAAGGGCACCCACAGTGGCAGCTGTCACTGTGGGGGGCGAAAGGTGACTCAGCACCTGGCCTGCAGTCGGGCTTAGTCTGCTCGTAGGGGCCAATGATTGCTATGTGTAATCCCAATAGATGGGAGGGAAAATTGTATACGTGTACCGTTACACTATGGCAGGATTCCTGCTGTTATATGGCAACATTGCTGCCGTGGTGTAATGGTTAGCGCACTGGACTTGCAATCCAGAGGTCTGCCGGTTTCATTCGATGTGCCGACGTGCCAGTCGAAGCAGTGCTACAAGTTTATTGAATCCCTCCTCCTCCGTAGCAGCACAAATAGGTTCACTACGAGTTAGTCGTTCGACAGGTTGCATGTGGTGGAGGGGTTGGGGGAGAATGTGGGTACTCCCATCTCTTCCAAGATATCTGGCCAGTGTGGAAGAGTGGGCCAACATTCCCTCTACAGGTAGGCCTCTAAAGCTTAATTTTGTGGAGCGCCTTCCACCAGCAGTGGCATGCGCAAGACATTTCAGGGCTGCACCTTTATGTTTTGTATGAATATCGTCAGACAGATAGATTTATGGATGTCTTCAAGAACGATAGGGCGAAAGATGGTACGGAGGGAGCGGTGGCAGAGTTGTTAGCGCACTATGCTACGAACCTGTTCATGGGTTCGATTTCATGCCTTGATTAACATCAATAGCGAGTGATATTTGCACTGGTCCTGGGCCTCCTTAACTATTCCGCATTGACCAGTGAGGTGAAGTATGGTCAAACAACCCCCGTGACTGACACAGAACGGGGAGGCTGCCATCCATCATTTGATTGTCAAACTGTAGTGCAAATAGATACCGTCGACAATGCGAAAGCAAGATTAATAGAAGTTCATTGTATATATGCGTGGGAGCTGGGGTTGCAGTGGTTAGCAACTCTTTGCTATGAACCTCACGGTGCGAGTTTGATTCTCTGCCATGCCTAACATCATTGGTGAGTCCTGGCCTGCCCCCTTAACCGGCTTTCACTGGCTAGCGTGGTGAAGTATGGTCAAACAATCCTCACAGTTAGTATGAGGAGGCCTTCAGCCAGCCGTGGATTGACAACAAGCTGGAAGTTAGATTGTAAATGGTATGTAGATACATGTTTGGTACACATACATATGCAAAATGAATATGAACACAGCTCCATACATTTCTACATACATGGCCCTTTTGTCAATCCACTGCTGGATAACAGCCTCCTCAAGTCACACACGAGCAATATACAGGCTCGACTTTGCTTACCTTCAGAGATCTAATGAAATCAAGCACATTTTGGGTTATTTTGGCCGTAGAAACATATAAACTATTGATAGGTAAATGCATAATAAGGTAACCAGACACTCATCTCCATTCCACATTCTCTATGGTGATTGTTGATGGTGTGTATTGAAGTGCTGCTGATGTAAAGAGGTACAGGGAGACAGACACAAGCAATTTGAAAGACGAATTATCCAGACACACTTTGCAGTAAGCACCTAAAAGAATTTTGAGAATCAGGGAGTCTTTCGTGAATTGTTAAAAAAAAAATACTCCTTCGGTTTTAATAATAAAACGTAATCATGCATTGAGACGTAAAAGGTGCAAAACAAAGCATAGGAGATAGACGCTTGGAATCACGATGTGCTACGGACAGCGGACCACATTGATTAGATGTGCAGGTTTTATGAGATCGCTCAATAGGTTAGGGAAAGTAAGCGGGCTTGGACATGGGACGTCGCTTGAAGAGATGATGGCTGACGGTCAAGAGTAATGGAGTGACGGCCAAGGATTGGAGCACGCCTGGGAGTGTGCACACCGAGGAGATGGAGGGATGAAAGCAGCTCACGTGCAACAGCCAGGAGGGCCGTTACATTGCAGGATCATAGGAGATGGCGGTGGCTTTGTAGGCCTTTGTCTAGCAGTGGATTTACCATGGCTGATGATGATGATGATATATTTAAATGTGTATATTAATGGCCAGACTGAAGCCCTCAAGCCTGTCATGCTTAAAACAAACTTAACATTGCTAATAGGGGTTTTCCCCTTTTTTCTGGCAACAAAACTGACACCTTTTGCAAGGAATCATGCTTACATTAACCACAATACTTGCAGTCAAATGCAAACATACACAAACAAACATTTGTTGCCAGAAAAAAGGGGAAAAACCCTATTAGTATATTTTGGTACTGGCAAAGGAGGTCCCATGAAATTTAACATAAAAAAGTGTCTCCAATGTGATGGTGCTAGGTAGACGCCACGGTAGTGAGATGCTACCGACCTCGCCTGGTATGCAGGAGGTCGTGGGTTTGGAGTTTGCATGTTCTATCCGTGGTCGGGTGTATTTTTCTCCGGGTGCTCCGAATTTACTTTCCACATTTAGAAACGTGCGTTTAGAGTATTTGGCTGCTATACATTTCCACATGATAAGCCACTTCGTTGTGCTACCATTTGTGATTGCCAGGTCGCTTATGAAAAAGTGCTATATAGCTCAGTGGGCCTCACATGGTAAAATTAAAAATAGTTTAGTTTAGGATTATTACATCAGAAATGTGAGAGGTGGTGATGATTTGGGGAGGCCTTCATCCAGCAGTGGATTGATCATGGCTGCTGCTGCTGCTGCTGCTGATGATGATGATGATAGAGGCTAGAGCAAGCATATGGACATGAAAATAAACAAACAATTCCTGCACTGTCATTGGGAAGCGTTGCACTGCGCAGTTATTTATTGCAAAACAAGTCCGGCGAATGGATTATTTTACTCCAGTACATTAATAGGTATTTGTTGCCAGGGAAGAATTCATCTTCAGGCAGCTCGGAATAAAATAAAGAATTGCTGCCTTGTTGTGCGGGAAGGTGGGTGAGCGTTCTTACGTCAAAGGCTAAATCGGTCCCAGCTGAGACTCGACACGAACCTTACGTCCATTCGTCTGGCTGAGTCACAGTGGAAAAAAGTCAAAAGCGTTTCCCTGCTCAAACGAGCATTGGGCTGCACTCATCCTCTGCTGGCACTCCTGAGCCAACGGTGGACATTTGACAGAGCCATGGTGTGGCAACAAGACACACTGTTGACGTGCCACGAAGTGGCGGCACTTATTGTTAACGAGCCCCTGGAAAGATAACACGATGGCACGT